AATACCCCTGAAGGCTGCATAATGCGGATTCTCGCATTCCTGGGCTTAGGCAACCATCAAATAATAGGTTAGCGACAGCTGCTGCTTCTTATGCCACTATTAATACTGTACCTCCCACCTTATATCACACTGAGCGCGCCTATGAACCATGCTTTCACAGTTTGGCCCCGGGCCGAATCCATGCTGATGATCACGTGTCACTCTCACGATGTTGGACTATCTAATTACAAAAGCACCTCTTGGAGGAGTTGGCTGGATCGGCCCGTATGAGTGTGCAGCTCCGGAGAGCATGTGGCCGGGCTTGGGCTGTGACGAGGCAATGCCAACATTATGCATGCAAAGCTCGTGGTACCTGGCCTCATCGGCTGAGCCGACATTATGCGCGTCGAAAAGGTCGATACTTAATAGATCTTCTGACGAGCATTGACATATAATATTGTAGAATGAGAGGCAAGATCAGGCAATGTTGGACCATTCTTGCGATTGCCCCTTTTTCTCTCAAAGAGCTTTGGAATTCCCAATTCTTTGAAGCATTCACGACTTCGGATCAGCCACCAGGTGTAGTACCTCGTAGAATTCCCACTCCTGAGTACCGTTCTTTGGAGCATGTTTCCATGGCCAGCGCAACAAGTGACACTAAAGAGAGGCTCTAGTGGACTTGACGGAAATGTCTTGAGAGCGGTGATCCTCAGCCCTCCCACAGCCTTCGTTCTTTCAACTTTATATTTTCCCGACACCATTTCAAAGAATGCATCGGGTGAAGCCCATCTTTTTGATTGAACGTCTTGTCATCACCTTTGGGAGCGCGAGCCTGAGAGGGTAGAAGCATCAGGTGGAGGATGGTGTTGATCCGCTGCTCCTATGAATTGACGGTGATCTGCAGCGCCTTGCCCTCATGGGAGCGGACCTGAAGTCAATCTGATAGAAGCAAGTATCATTACCGCTTGGCACACTAGCGACTGTGTGGGAAGTAAAGGTGTCACACGCGGCAGTTATGTTTTCGTTTCAGATGCAATGAAGGGTTGACCTGATGACGACCGGAGAATGGCAGGTGCGAGGACTGGAACCAAGCGCAGAGACGATGGTTGGTATAGGAGTGGTGACATTCAGTCCTGAATCACCGAGATCAGCTCCTGGTATCGCCAAATGTTCGACAGTTGTGGGGCTAAGAATAAGAGACGCAAGGACGGCGGGGCTGAAATAGGCTCTACTTTGATTATAGATCAGCTACTCTGTAGATAATGCTATAGCCTGGATACCTTGATGTAAGTAGTCGTGAAGGCGACCTGTGTTTTGCGCAGGTGGGAGGAGGGGTGGGATCACAGATCAAGCATAACCTCGTGGATCGACCTTTCACCAACATCAAGTCTGGCCAAAGTTCACGCCAAGCTCGGCCTCAGAATGGGCCATCAACTGCGCTTTTCATGATTTCTGCTCAACCTCAACATCTAAAAGGTCTCTTGTGATTTCTAGTCACACCTCTACGACAACTTCGCTTGACTAACTTCCTCAATATCCTGCTGCGTTTCTCTACTTGTCGAGTCCCATGTGCAGAGACAGTTTCTCTACTCTCCAGTTCTCACACTCGTTGCCATCACCTTCACTTTCACCCTCATCCTCCTACCTTAACTTTCCCGCGACTCCAATCGGCGATGATCTCCTACAGCCAATATGAACGGCATCATCGAGCCTTTACCTGGCCTCCTTGATGATCCTCTATTTCAAATTCCTGATTTACCTGCCCTGACTGACTTTCAAATTGCCCCTCTACGAAATCCTGCTCCGAGCCGTCATGCAAATGTCCCTCTACCCCTCGAACCTGTGGCCGACAATAGCCTGGGTAATGGACGGACGAACAAAACTACTACACATCCTGTAGAAAGTCCGGAGAGGAGGAGGGCGCCATCAATAACTCCCAACGATGTCCTTCTTGCACGAGAGGCAAAAAGACCACATCTCGCCATCAGCGAGCTGCTGGAAGCCGACCATGGCCCGGACCCTACACCAACATATCTGCCCTCATTCATCAGTCTGGCTGTGGTGGAAAACTCGCCTGTCCAAGCCCCCTCGTTTCTAGAACATCCTCAATCTCTCAGGCATCTGAGATTGGACGCCGACAGTGACCATGTTGCTCTTGACTGGGCCAGGCATCTTCCTCCCCCAGCTCAGAAAGAAAACCGTCACAACAGACCGACTCCGCTCCTCCCTGCTATGGTTACAGGACTGCATGAGCCTCCTCCCTCTGCAGCTCTCCTGCCGTCCATTGACCTTGACTCTCTACATGCGACCGTCACAGCATTACACGAGCCTTCAGCTCTGTTACCATCGCTTGACTCTCGCCCAACACGTGCCACGATTACAGGATTGCATGAAACTCAGCCTACTGCGCTGTTGCCGGCAGTCTATCCGGAGTCGATACACACCACGAGCACGAGGCAGCATGAACCCCGTCCCACTTCTGCGGCTCATCCACCACCGATTGATGTCGATTCGACACAAGCCACCACCCGGCCAACACCAACAACAACATCGAGGATTCATGTCAGAGATATGCTCAGAGACTCCGTTGGACCAGATCGTGAACCGAGTCTACCAGATCCCGAGCCCATTCAACCTGACACTGACCCTTACCCCCAAGAAGTTGACCCTTACCACCAAGAGGCTGACCCCTACAACCCAGAAGCTGATCCTTATTACCAAGAATCTGACCACTACCATCAAGAATCTGAGTCTTATCACCCGAGTCCTGAAGCCGATCAACCAGATATAGACCCTTCACCCGAACCCATTCCTCCTGGCCGCGTTATTGACACACGTATTACTTTTACCAGGGCCTTTCTAAGGACTGAAGAACTCTCTCCCGACGAGATCCGCCAACGCATTCCGAAGGTGATCCATCCTGTTTGGAAGGAGACAAATAAGAAGATCTTTAAGCGTCGCGCCAGGCGGAGATGGACTGATGCTGAAACTGCAGACCTCATGGCCGGCGTGAATAAATACGGCATCGGCCGATGGAAACAGATTCTAGACGATCCGGATTTCCATTTCAGGGACAGAAATTCCGTGGATTTGAAAGATCGGTACCGCGTTTGCATCAACGACAGGCCCTCAAAGTCCGACACCCACCTGGGAGTCGACAGTCCTATTGCAGAACCATCTCCATCCATTGAGATACTGGGCATACGACACTGTCGTGAAGTGGCGGAGCGACTGGCAGATCGCGGTCAGAGTTCGAAACAACGTCGTAAACGCCGTGCTTGGACAGACCTCGAGGACGAGAATCTTTTGGCAGGTGTAGCACGACATGGCTTCCAGTGGACCGCCATTCATGACGACCCAGACCTGGATCTGTCGCACAGGCGAGCCACCGACCTCCGAGACCGCATTCGAAATAAATTTCCAGATGGGTACAAGCACGCCGAGTCTGCGCCGTTGAGGTCAGAGGTCAGGAAGGCGGAGAAAGAAGCCCAAGCTGCAGAATCAACTACATTAGAGACGGACGTCCCTGGGCAAGTGCCCAATGCAACCAAGGTCTCGGCGAAGGGGCGACGGAAATCTGGGAAAGTGACGGTAGCAGATGAAAGTGCGACTACTTCAGCTCGAAGAAAACGCCGCTTGTTTCTACCAACTGCGTCGGCTTCCTCGGTGAACAGGCTAACGCGCGATGAGCTCGACCAAGACCATGAAGATATGCAGGAGGAACACGAGAGAGAAAGAGAACGCGAAGGTGAAAATGAGCAACAACAATCCCTCATTACATTGCCCAGTTTGACACTCGACCTCGATGATATGGACTGGGAGGATAATAGGCTGCCACCGTTGCATGACGGCGAGGAGGATGATATCAGCGACTAGCGCCGGAACGGAAAGTGGCATGTGCATTTGAAGAATTGACAAGTGACAAGAAAGGAACCTCGAAGATTGACATCAGGCTTGAGCAAATATTTTGGAGCAAACATTATGGTATTGGCGGCACTGGAGGGGACTGGGCGTGGGAAGTCGCAGAAGGCGATACAACGCGGCTCATGTAGCGACAGGACATCAGTATTCTTGTTTTTCTGATTGTTTCCTCGGTTGATAGGCAATTGCGGGATGAAAAAAGGAAGGACAATGGGTTCATGGAATGGAAAGGGGACTGGTGAAGGTGCTATTATTTCGATTGTGATACCCCTTGGTTTTTGGTACTTGGACAGGGCGGGGATGGGAAATTTGGAACTGGCACGTAAGGCTCTACCTGAACATATCTATATACTAGGTACATGCGTCCGTGTGTTATGTACTTTGGTACCTTGGTAATGAATACTTACAAGGGCACCAGGGCCAGAGACGGCCGTGTCTAAGAGTTATTTTTCTGTATTCCTACTCGCGAGCCCGAGGTCGGAGAGCCTCTGCCTGCTCCAGCAGATCGGATACTTGTATAGAATCTACAATCTATATGTACTTGACATGTATTACAGATACTACCACTGCTGGAACATGACTGAGCCACCCTCTCTTCTCCCTTCTTCGTTGGATTACCCCACGCATACGCTTGAAGCTACTGGTCGAGTTGAGTCGAATCGGGCCGTGTCCATGAAAAAACTTGTCTATCTATCGATTCTGCCGTCAACATGACATTTCCGTATCACGCACACAGGGTTCGAGGGAGGAGAGGCGGGAAAGAGATGGAGCTAGTCGGCTCTGCTCGGTCTTCTTCGCCTTTGGGCTCTGGGCTCTGGCTCTGGCAGTGCCTTCGTCCATATCTCGTCAGGATTGTCGCTTCATATACGGTGTAAGCAGGCAGAACGTAGCCAGTGATACATGGTTGGGATGGGATGGAGTCATGTTCAACCGCAAAACGGGAGAAGGAAAGGAAAGAGAGAGATAGAAATTTCAATGGGCACGTAGGTGCATATTGCGGTAGGACGGGGTGAATGGTCAGTCTGATCTTTCTGCTCCCGACTCCTCTCCCACTTATCTTGACCTGGCCTTTTGTGTCTTGCTTCTTCGGACAATGCGTATCACACGAATGAGGTACCCCAGGCGTCCTTTGTATGTGCCGGACATCCCATGCAGGTGTAGACTTCTGGCGTGGTGCTTCGCTGTCGTGAGAGAGCCGAGAACTTTTCAATACGCTGCATTCCTGCCTGACCAACTCGCTCAGTGTGCTGCGAGGATGTCGAAACTATACGCCGTCAACAGTACTCCATGACAACCCCACTCCCCCATGCGTACGCTCAATTGAAAGAAACAAAAACACAGAGTCGAATAATGCCTTCAGAGATTTGCTCGCAAAAAGCCCTCGCTTCCAATTGTCATTTTGCTCGTCATCTCGTTTGATCATTCTGGCCATGTCGTTTCCTGAGGCAATATTTTATTTCACCTAGAAGTAGGCCTTTTCACCAAGCATTACGATCCCAGTTCGGATCTATTTTGTCTTCAGTCAGCCCAAGCTTGTACCATCAAGGCGGAGTGAATTCCCTTACCTTGTATAAATGCCCCGAGAACCTTGCTCCCAGTCTGCAACAGCGGGTGTCCGACCACTATTTGTAGGAACCTCTGAAGCCCTTCCCTCCTGTGTTCAATCACATCATCCGAGAATCTGTTCGTGAATACTTTTCCAGGTAGTGGGGGAATTGTGACTCTGGCGCTTTCTCGCTCCAGGATATCTCGAAAGTACTCGAAGTCGGAGTATCGGCGGCGGACGACCGAGTGACGAAGTTTGAAGGCCGGAATATTGGTACGGGTGTGGATTTCATAAGAGGTATACATGTTACGAGGAGAGGAACCGTGGGTTTGTGGGTTTTTCACCTGTGAACTAGGTCAGGCTATGTTCACCGAGAAAAAGTGCTTCTGATTCTAAGATGGCGACTAGGAGAGCCCTTGCGGCGCATGAGAGATCGCAGAACGTACCTCAATCTCGAGGAAGTTTTCTGGAGGGCCGTAGATCTCCTCGAAAGTTTGTTGGCGAGACTCTGGTAGGGCTTGCATGGCTGCGGGGTTGAAATAGAGGACGCAGGCAACTGAACAGGGTGATCGATCGCGTGCACTTTAGACACAAAGTAAAGTCGATTTGAATGCACTCTCAAATCTGTAGGGCGCTGATAAAAACAATTCAGTCAATAGAGCTGAGGACGGGTATGTGAGGTTAGCCGTTGGACTGATTTAGGGCGTCACCCAGCGTATCTTGGTGTTCGTCGAGAAGATTCCTGCAAAGCCGCACCTGACTCTTGCCGCTTTCCCAATCGGGCCACCCCGCATCCTCCTGCGCCAAGGCCCGTTGGGTGGGTCTCAAATTTCGCTGCAGGGGAGCCAGTGATTTTTTATATTTTGGATATTTTTCTTCACTGTTGATCAGGAAGGACTGTAAACACACCCCAGATCCTAACAATGGGGACTGACACGGCGTCTAAAAAACGGAAAAGAGAAGTCGACGTCGAGCTTGTCAAAGTCTACGAGGACCTGGCCGACAACCAGGAGGACGTTCGTCTCGCTGCGGCCCATACGTTGCTGTCCAAAATCTACAAGCCTGGAATCACGAGCCATGAGCAGACCCTGACTATTTTGAAACGGCTCTTCCGTGGACTTTGCAGCAGTCGCAAATCTGCGCGTCTCGGGTTTTCTGTCGCCTTGACCGAATTCCTTTCTCAGCTTACAACTGCCGCGGCCAATTCGTCCGAAAGTGTTGTGTCCCCATCGATTGTCATTGATATCCTTGAAGCCCAGACCTTGCCAGAGAAGGGTACTTCTGGCCAGGACGAGCGTGACCACTATTTCGGCAGAATTTTTGGTGCTGATGCCGTTTTGAAATCGAGAATTCTTTTCGGCAAGAAAGCGGATCAAAATCAGTTCAAGCGCCTGCTCGACATTATTTGTGCTTTAGCAATTAAGAAGCCGTGGCTCCGTCAGGAATGCGGCTGGGTCCTCTACAATTGCACGTTGTACGATTATTACGAGCTGCCACTACCCTTCTCTCTACTCATCTGTGAACAGCTGGTTGCGAACAAGCTGATACGTACACCAGAGGGCGTGGCAATCTGGTTGGCGACAACTAGGCGCTTCCCTCATGCGAAATTGCCCAAGTCGGCTTGGAAGAGCGGTCATCCACTGGCGAAGAAAGACGTGAATATCCTTGCCGATATCCTCAAAGATGCGAGGATCGAACGAGCGGAGGCAGATGGCGATCTGAAATCCCAAGGCACTGCGAGATGGTCTGCCAAGCTCCATTTTGCCTGGGATGTTGTGCTTGCTGAAATCTTCGGAAATACGTCGAAACAGCCTGAGAATGGGAGTGATGGGAAAAGTAGCATTCGGAACGAAGACAAACTCCCCTTCGACCTGTTCTGGAAAGTTGTTGTGGATGAAAGTCTTTTCGCACCTACAAGCAGCGCGGAGCGGAAATCCTGGGGGTTCAGTCTATGGGAAAAGATCTTTGAAACAGCCCCCAGAGAACTATTGATCTACACCTTTACGTCGCGAGCGAGTCATTGTTTGGTCAATTCTCTCAAGAGCACCGAAAGATTTCTTCAAAGGTCGGCCCTTAGATTAACCCAGATCATTCAGGCTTGCTTGACCAATGCTGAGCCCTGGGATCAACGCGCCAATCTCGCCGGAAGTTACGTCCGCGCACTGTTACAAAGTGTTTCTTTCGGCGACTTTGACCATATCACCAAGTCCAAAACTCTACAAAATCTGTTCGAAGGAGCAACCGCGGATGTGTTAGAGGGCATCAGTTCTGCTTTGACCGACCTTCTGACTAGCTCTCATGAGCAGGACACGAAGACGACACTTTTGCAACAGAAAGCGCTTGTAAATTTGCAGTGGAAGCTACTCTCAGCAAGGCTCCGCCGCTGGGAACAGCTCCAAATGTCGCAACTTAACACCATCGACGACAAGGAGAAAGCACTTGTCTCCGGAGTACTTCAGTCATGGCTCAGAGAAGTCTGCATATCGCCAACTTGGGCGAGCTCGCAGAACCTCAACCGTAATATGCGGTCGAAACTGCTGCCAGAGGTTCACGACTTTGTAAAGGAGCGTCTGAGCTTGTCCTTTGAGCAAGCCCTCAAACTTGGGCCTCTGGGATGTTGGTTGTTGAAGCATGTGATCCTCCACATTCGCGAGTTGGAGGTCCTCGACATCCAGATGACTGCTGCCTTTGAGGACGACGTTAAGGCTATCGTGGAGACAGCGTGGCAAAGCTTGGCAGATATTCCCATCAATACTCAGACAGTCTCGACAGCCAGCCGAGCCGCAGCAAAGGCTTCGAAGGCCTCGAAAACGCCCATACGAACGGCACTGTCGTCATCTGAGGGATTGTGCCTGCTCTATGCCTTATTACTATTCCAAATCTACAGCGGAGAGATAGAGGCTGTGCAGATCTTACAGGAAGTGCTTGAAAACTGGGGTCGACGGAAAGATAATCAGAAAAGCATGGTTTCGACTGAAAATGGACAAGAGTCTGCCGATGCGATTATGGAGATTCTCCTCAGCTTCTTATCAAAGCCGTCCAAATTCTTGAGGCGTATCACTGTCCAGATCTTTGATGCTTTTGCCCCTTCTATTACTGCCACTGGCCTGGAATCCATGTGCCGCATTCTTGAAACCAAAGAAAACCTTCGGGGACAACAAGAAATGTTCGAAGCTGGAGATATTGGGAATGAAGGCGAGGAGAACCTTGCGTCTGACTCTGAAATGGAAGACCTAGACTCAGATGTCGAAGTCGGTTTTGTTTCGGAGTCTGGCAAATCTTCCGAAAAGGAGGATTCCGATTCGACATCGACATCCGATGATTCTGCGGAAACTTCAGATGCCGAATCTGCAGACTCTCAGGAGTCAGAGGACGATGATGCCGAAGATGAGGAGCTTGCGGCGTTCGATGCACTACTTGCATCTGCGCTTGGCACAAGACGGCTCAACGAGGGTGATCTCAACGCTGCGTCAGACACTTCAGAATCCTCTTCCGACGCAGATATGGATGACGATGAAATGATGAAACTGGATTCCAAGCTTGCAGAAGTCTTTCGCGCGCGAAGTGAACAACAGTCAAAGAACAAAAAGAACGAAGCGAAAGAGGCAAAGGAGAACATTGTCAATTTCAAGAACCGCGTGCTCGACCTGATCGACTCGTATCTAAAGCATCAGGCACACAAATCACTGAGCATGGATTTAATACTTCCCCTTCTCAGGCTTGTGAGAACTACGCCAACTAAGCAGCTGGCCAACCGTGCTTGCAGCATCCTCCAGCAGTTCTGCTCACGGTGCAAAGGACCCAATGCCCCCGAGCTACCGGACGACTCTTCCCGCGAGCATGCCATTGAGATCCTGAAGTCGATCCACGAGGAAGCGGGCATGGAGTCGTCACATGCGCACTCCAACGCAGCAAGTCTGTCGAGTATTCTTGTTGCGAAGGCTCTCGTAAGAGCCAATCCATCCGATATCAAAATGGTTGTGGAGATATACGCGTCGACAAGATTGAGGCAACTAACGGACAAGAAATGCAGAATTGTGTCGGGCTTCTTCACCGATTGGAACAATTGGTGCCAAAGTATCAGAGCGAAGCTAGTGGAGTGATATGGGGCTGGTCATCCATAAAGAAGATAGCAGCATCAAGCACAAAACGATCGAATGGCGAGAAACATCTTTCCAAACTTGTCATGCTGGACATCCACCCGCGCCTTTTCAGAAGCAATACAAGACCTCGCTGGGTGCATGTGGAAAGGGTATCTGCAAGGCATAAGTATACAGTCGTTTGCAATTGCGGCTTCACCTTTGGGTGACCTTTACATACACTCAGAGATTATTAAGCCCAAGTCGTCCGCCCTACTTAGAAAAGATCTAACTAGATAAGCTCAAGCGTATATTTCTCCACTACCAATCATTTATTGCGTCTTGGTTAGCTGGTGTGTCGGTTTACCGTACATAACAATTATATATTACCCACCAAAAGCAGTGGCTACGCGATAAGCTATACGTGATGATAGCGGCAACTCTGTCCCTTCCACGTGATTCTCCAGCCTGCTCTGTGGAGTTAAGTCGCATCTCCCTCATCCTACGAAACGCTAGGAAGAATGAAAAGAGTGGGACTGTATGGTCGTTCCCGAAAGTGGCCAACATGCCGGACACATTGCTATTCTTTTTCGAGCCAGTTTTGGGGGATTTAGTCCTGCTCCAGCTTACTTCGAATGAATCACAGCTATGGTGTGTGTTAATTCCAAACCATACTATCATGTGGACGCCAATTTTGCAAGGATCCAGGGGGCGTTTCGTCAATCGTGGACTTTAATAACTAAGTCAGTCGTGTGCATTGTAGAAACCCATCCACCCCGCGGCGGATTGAACCATTTCGCTGAATGTCCAACTCTAGTGACGTCTAGCATCACGAAGGACGGAGGACTCACCATGAGAAGAGAGACGTGCCCTATACTATGCCGGGACAAAGTTGCTCCTTGGATTCGGCGAACAGGGACGTCCAATTCGCTCTTCAACCTCGGCCAGGTTTTCCCAAGGATGTGCGCTTCTGAGCTGTTTAGCTCTCTCAAATGGCCCCAACAACAGCACCTGCCAGTGAGAAGGCAATCCAAACAACGGTGAGAACCATAAGCTTAGGGGGACAGAACCTAAATCCAGTCAGTGAATATGAGCCCAGTAAGTTCATGAAACGCACTCTTCCAAACTCAGACCAATAAATCCGCTCCAAAAGAGCCACTGCGCGATCCAAAGAAAGAGCATGGTTATAATCGCGGCTGTGTGCAGCTTCGTAAATGCTTTCCGGGTAACCTGGTTGTGTTGACGTTCAACATGGAGAGTGCCATATGCCATGTAACTTCGCCCCTCACTTCTCGTCAATGATTCTTCTTCTGAGCCCTTATCCTCGTGTGCGCAGTGTGGTGCCATCCTCTGCCCCAACCACTTCCAATGTCGATTTAAGAGCACCAGCGACGAAACAAACGCCGCGATAGCGACAACATGCCACAAGAATGCCCCAGCATACA